TTTTGTTTGTATGTGGTGCTGAGGATGGAACCTGGGCCGCAAGCATGCCAGGCAAGCGCGCTACCGCTTGAGCCACATCCCCAGCCCCTGGCCAGTATTCTAAATCAACAGCTTACAAAATTTGTTTTACCAAATATTTATACATACAGTACAGAAATGCTTTCATTTTGTTTGATACTGGGGCTAAAATCCAAGGCCTCACATATGCTAAGTATATGCTCTTCCACTGATCTATATACTGCCACCACCAAGAATGTTTTTTTTTTTTTGCAACTTTTCTCTAAATTTGCAGTTATTTCAAAATTAAAATTTAATCAGTTAATATGTAGTATTATGAGAACTAAAGTGAAAGAAAGCAAGCAAATACGCTAGTCTTTATTTTTGTACTGGGGTTTAACCCAAGGGTGCCTTACCACTGCTGAAATATCTCCGCATCCACCTTCCTTTTTAATTTTTCATTTTTTTTTTATGCTGGGGATTGAACCCAGGGCCGTGTGCATGCAAGGTAAACACTCTACAAACTGAGCTATATCCCCAGCCATCCCCCCCTTTTTAAAAATCTCATTTTTAAGATATGGTTTTACTAAGTTACTTAGCGCTTCGCTAAGTTACTGAGGTTGTATTGAACGTGTGATCTTCCTGTCTCCGCCTCCCAAGCAGGTGGGATTACAGGCGTGCACCCCTTCCCCCGCACAAGTTAGCTTTGGAGGAAAAGAAAGAGGAACAAAGTCGTGTGGAGCGAGATACCAAACCCAAGCTTCTGGAATATTAACACCGTCTTGAAGCTGGTGCCTTAGGTGATTCAGCTTAAGGTCAGTGCCTAGGCTTTCCATTATAGAGTTCTAAATCTAGCTTCAAGATGTTCTCTCATTGTTTTAAATTAAATATCACCATGTGTCACTTATAAAGCTTCGCACTACATTTCCCAAAAGGCTTTTATCTTTCCTCGCGGTAATAAGGATTACAATTTCTATAGGTCCTTACAAATATCGCGAGACTTTACCAAATCTCATTAAGGATTCCTTCCCAAAGCCATTTTGTTTTTCAGGGCTCTCTGCAAGGGTACCTGGAGCGAATTTACTTCAAAGCAGCAGCTGCAGTTGCGGTAGATCCCTCTGCACTTCCACCATGTTTCCCTTGGTCAAAAATGCTCTGAGTCGTCTCCAAGGTGAGCAAAATCGTGAGCAAGCCATTTACAATAACCTTATATCCGTGTGTCCTCGTGGTCTTTTCGTTTTTCTTGCTCCAACATCCTGGCTCTCTAATTCTACATGCTGTCTCTTACTTCGTCCAAAGTCATTGGGGAGATATCCGTGGCATTGTCTTTATCGTCCTGTGTTTTTGTTTCATTTCCTAGCTCTGTCTCTGCTATTGGAGTCATATCCTCGTACTGCATTTTTAGTCTTGTAACCTATCTACTCTTTGATTATCTCTCGCTTCTAAAGTGATGTCCTACATTTTAGCTTTGGATCCACATTTAACCACACATAGAAGAACCTTCTCTCCCGTCCCTACAGCTGTAACTGTAGGAAACTGTAAATCCACCTCTTCACCTGTTTTCATGGCTGGGAGACGACCTAAATGATAGCCTTGTAGACTTAAAAAGCTATTTGCGGGTTGTTAACTGAAAATTAGTTGCCGTGAGAGCAATCATGGTTATCTTTTTTATCTAGAAGTTAGACAAATACAGGGAAATCTGAGATCAGCATCATGAACTGAGAATGCACTAGATTGGAGAGAAAAAATTTATTTCCATATTTGATTTGCACTGAAGGTGACCTTGAGTAATGTGAGTGAAGGTGACCTTATACAACCATCATTTACTAATGTAGCCATACTAATTTTAACTTTACATTAGGAGCATTACTTGACTGTCTTCTAAACACTCAAGCAGTTTTTAAAATAAATGAAAAAATAATAGCCCTACTAGGTTTCATATGCTAAAAGCCGTGCTCATTATTTCTTTAACTTGGGGTAAATGATTTAATCTCTGAACCTGTTTTCTGCTTTATAAAAGATTAGTAGATAAAACTTGCCTCATAGGATTGTTGACGATTATATGAAATTACCAATGTATGTTAACTAAATCATATTTTGTCGCAGAGGACAGATCTAAAGAAATCCACTTGGGTAATCTGTTTAAGTCAGAATTTTTGGTAATCATAATTTCTTTGTCCTTTAAGCAAGTGGGGAAATCTTGTACCTTAGGAATGCTTTTCTGTTTCTTTCAGTGTGGAATTCACACACGCTTTTTTTTTTTTTTATTCTGTTCTGGAACAGAATACATTGTGAAATGTTTGTAAATTTGCACATCCTGGATGTGAGTTCTTAAAGATGAAAATGAAAGCTAAGATAGTTAGAAGAACAAAAAATAAAAGTTAAATGACTATCATGAAATAACCTGTTGTACCACACAGAAACCACTATATTCTTAAATGTTAGTGAATGTGAAATGTTGCTATTTCTTTAGTGTGCAGCATACTTTGATGTGTGTATATATACATATACATACACACATTTTGAGGCTTTTTATAACAATAAGGACTTGCTACTTAACTTGGAGAGGCAGGAAAAAAAAAAACACTTCCAGAATCTCTTGTTTCTTTCCCAAGTTGTCCTTCTCAGTTCCTCCAGGGACAGTTTGAAAGGTTGTTGTACCCTTTCTACAAGAATATAGTAAAAGCTAAGTTTTAATTTTATCATTTTGCTTAAAAATCTTTACTGTCTTCCCCAGCCTAGGAAAAAAATGCACCTTGTCCTTCAACTAAATGTAATTGATTTTCCAGTACACAGAGCTTTTCTGTCTCTGCCTCTTTTTCCCACATTAACAACCAGAACCTATCTGCCATTCAAAGTGCTTAGCTAATTCTACTTGCTTATATTGTAGTGATTTGTGTCTTCATGTGTACTATCCTTTTTCAGTCTGGAAGTTGTCTGGTGACAGATATCTGTTTTTTTCATGTTTTTATATATTCTATTACAGTATGGTGCCCTATTCATTAATAATTTGTTGAGGTGGGGGGGTACTGGAGATTGAACCCAGGTGTACTTTAACACCAAGCTACATCTCCAAACCTTTATATTTTTTTATTTTGAAGTTGATGATGCTGGCCTTGAACTTGTGATCCTTCTGTCTTAGCCTCCCCAGTTGCTGAGATTACAGGAGTGTACCACTGTGCCTTACTGAATATTAATATCTTAAATATCCAGATTACTTTAGTTTTCGAGGGTTTTGTTGTAGTAATAATTTAAGGTCACTAGCATTTAGTGTGCTATAAATTTCATTTTGAGTTTATTTGCCTTTGTATGTTTTAAGTTTGTTGAGTGTTAACTTGAGTGAAAATTAAAGTTATACATATTCAAATTAATGAGTAGAAGCCAAGTTCCATCCACTTAGTGATATTATTGGCATCACTTTTTTTTTTTTTTAAAGAGAGGGAGAATTTTTAAAAAATATTTATTTTTCAGTTTTCGGTGGACACAACATCTTTATTTTTTATTTTTTATGTGGTGCCGAGAATCAAACCCAGCGCCCTGTGCATGCCAAGTGAGCGTGTTAGCGCTTGAGCCACATCCCCAGCCCTATTGGCATCACTTGTTACTTGCTTTTGCCCCTATTTTAGTTTGAAACTATTCAAACAGAAAAGATTTGGAAGAATTACATGATGAACATCCATATACTTACCATGTAGAGTCTGTGATTGTTATATTGCTGTATTTGTTTATTCACATATCTGTCCATTTGTCAATTGATCTTATTTTTGATGCATTTCAAAGTATACTACTGGGTTTTTAGCTGCAATGTGTTTTTAACATTTTATTGAACTGTGTTCCTTGACTTTTAAATTGGCAGTATCAGTTACATGTGTTATCTTTTCCTGATAATTGATATACTTATGTAATTTTTTTTTCTTTCCTGTAAGTTCGAAACATTCAGCAAACAATGGCAAGGCAGAGTCACCAGAAACGTGTACCTGATTTCCATGACAAATATGGTAATGCCATATTAGCTAGTGGAGCCATTTTCTGTATTTCTGTATGGACATATGTAAGTATTGTTGATTGATAATTCTTTTTGTGGTTCTGGGGATTGAACACAGGGCCTACCCATGATAGGTAAGCACTTTTCATCGAGCTGTACCCCCAGTTCCAATAATTTTGTTAGATATTTCTTATTCTTATTTTGCTCCATGTATTAAAAAATGTTTTAACAAAGTACTACACATATGTAGTTAGGAGAGGCTGGGGATTTAGCTCACTTTGTAGAGTGCTTGCCTTGCATGCACAAGGCCCTGGATTTGATCCCCAGCACCAAAAAAAAAAAAAAAAACCGCCCCCAAACAAACAAACATATGTAGTTAGGAGGGACTTGAAAGATTATCTGATCCCCAGTACAAGTATTTCCTCTTTAATATTCAGCATTCACCTATCTTCTGTTCTTAATATTTCCAGTCACAAATTGCTTATTAGATCACAGAGCGGTTTTTTGCAAATTGTGCATCTGTAAAAAGGATCTTATCATTGTGTTAAAATGTTTCCTGCATATCTGTTGTTCATTTGCAATATAGAAATTTTGATCTATCATGTTTCCATATGACAGACATTAAATATTAGAAAATTGATATCATGAGCTGGAGGTATAGTTCTGTGGTAGAGCACTTGCCTGGCATATACAAGGCCATAGATTCAATCTCTAGCACAAGAGGAAAAAAAAAAGATGATGAGAAAAGGAAATTGCTATCATGTCTCTTTAATCTTCTCTTTTAAGATTAAACATCTTGGGGCTGGGGATGTGGCTCGGGCAGTATCGCGCTCGCCTGGCATGTGTGCGGCCCAGGTTTGATCCTCAGCACCACATACAAACAAAGATGTTGTGTCCACCAAGAACTAAAAAATAAATATTAAGAAAATTCTCTCTCTCTCATTCACTCGCTCTCTTTAAAAAAAAAAAAATGATTAAACATCTTTAGTTCTGTTGGTCATTTTTCTTGGGCTGGGAATCAAACCCAGGGCCTCTTGCATGCTAGGCAGGCACTCTACCACTATTTAAATGGTTGGGAAGAACTACTTCTCTAGTTCCCCTCAACTATCTATCTATCTATCTATCTATCTATCTATCTATCTATCTATCTATCTATCTATTTTTAATTCTGAGACTGTGTCTTGCTAAATTGCTGGGGCTGGCCATGAACTTGCCATCCTCTTGTCATGGCCTCCGGAGTTGCTGAAAAATAGTCATGTGCTGCCATGCCTGACCTGTGGATCATTTTTTGTTCTATAGTTTCCAGGATTTTCACTAACTTAGGCCACTCCCTAGATAAAACTTAAGTGATCAGATTTTCTTCTAAAATTTTAGAATTTTCTGTAACAATTTTAGAATTTGAGTACAATATTCCTGATGGATAAGATGTAAAGTAACTTTTTTTCCATATTTTATATATATTGTTTATATATATTTTATATATATATATTACTTTTTTTTGTCCTGAGGATTGAAACCAGGGGCACTTAACCATTGAGCCACATCCCTAGATTTATTTAGAGACAGCATCTTGCTGCGTTCTTTAGGGCCTCACCAAATTGCTGAGGCTGGCCTTGACCTCAAGATCCTCTTGCCTCAGCCTCTTAAGCTGCTGGGATTACAGGTGTGCAATACAGCACCTGGCTACAGTTTACAGTTAACAATCTATTTACCAGTTACTATTAATTGATAAAGTAGGAGTCCTGAAATTTTAAATAAATATGTAAGTAGGGTTTAAAAGAAATCAGCTGTTGCCTTGATAAACAAAGAAGCTGTATTTAGACTTCTTTCTTGTTTTGTTTTTTCTGAAATCAGACATAATGTTTGTTTTTTGATTGTTTTTGGTGCTGAGAATTGAATCCGGGATTTGTGCATGCTAAGCACATGCTCTACCACTGATATCTACCCCCAACCCTGAAATAAGATAAAGTATTAAAATCAATGTGTACTCAACTATGGTAAACAAATATTTAACAAATGTGTGATTAGAGGAGATTTTGGAAGTTAAATAATATTTAACAAATGTGTGATTAGAGGAGATTTTGGAAGTTAAATACATCTTTTTTTTAAAGTTACACATGGACACAATGTTTTTATTTTTTATGTGGTGCTGAGAATCGAACTCAGCACCTCACACGTGTGAGGTCTGCTCTTTACCACAGAGCTACAGCCCCAGCCCCTGGAATTTAAATATTTTTGTTTTTAAATATTTTATTAGTTATTGATGCACCTTTTATTTGTTTACATGTGGTGCTGATAATCGATCCCAGTTCCTCATACATGGGAGGCAAACGCTTTACCACTGGGCCATAACCCCAGCTAAATACTTCTTAATTACAAAGTGTCTTTGGCAGTTATTTATCAGTTGTGGTTGAGGGAAGCAATATTTTGAGGAGGTACTATGGCACCATGAATTGTAAATTTAAATTAAGTAAAATTTGTTTCCTTACTCATACTAGCCATATTTCAAGGCTTAGTAGCCATCTTTGGCTAGTGACTACAATACTGGGTAGCACAGATATAGAACATTTCCTTCATCTTTAGAAGTTCTAATGAATAGCACTGCTCTGGAGAATTAGGACAACAATTAGGCTTGACCTACATGAGGGCACTATATCCCAGGTGAATTTCTGTATATTTATAACCTTTAGAGTAAAATATCTTTATCACTTCCAAGATGTAGGCTCCAAGAGAACATGGATTTGGGTTTAAACATGTATAACTGACAGTATTTTAATTCTTACAGACAACAACACAAATTGGAATAGAATGGAACCTGTCCCCTGTTGGCAGAGTCACCCCAAAGGAGTGGAGAAATCAGTAATCATGCCAGCTGATGTAATACTGAATTTCAAAACCAACTCAAAATTGATGCCAAGTAAAAGCACTGTGTACCTACTAAATATGGCATTTATTGAAGAAATAAAGTATGCTTGAAACAATCATTGTAGATTTTCTTTCCTTTGTAAATGAACTAAGCTGTTCATTTTTCATTTATTTACTCTTTGTGTTCAGATTAAAGTCAAAATACTATAACACTTTTTAAAATAACTTCTTTGAAGTAGTATGAAAGGGAAATTTAGTTATCTGGAAGTCAACTTTATGGTAAGCTAGAATTATAGTTAACGAATAACCAATAGCAGAGCTATTTAGATCATCTTTGAGCTAAGTTTGGCCCTTGTATTGATTATGTCTACTGCTTTCTAGCTTTCATGTTTATATTTTGATTCAGCATTATTAACTCCTTTTCACTCTTGGTTTAGTGAATTGAGGATGTCATCACAGCCAAGGAATAATGGTCCCATAAAATGAACTACTAGGTTGTGTCAAGCATAGCTAGTTATTTGGCTTCTCTGGAATATTTACCTTAATTAGAGGTTTTGAATTTTAGCATATTAGGGATATTTATGATGTTATTAAACAAAGGATCTGTCATATAGTCTATTTTTAGTTATATAGCTGTAGATATAATTAGAATTATTTAAGTTCAAAGTGATATTTGTTTTTTTATTTATCTTTCTTACATGACAATAGTGGAATGCATTACAATCATAGTTATCTATTCACACCATTTTTCATAACTATATAAGATATGTTTACTTCAAATTATTTTTTTGCATTACAATTTTTTTAAAGAATTTTAAAATTATTTTTCAGTTTTCGGTGGACACAACATCTTTATTTTTTTATTTTTATGTGATGCTGAGGATGAACCCAGCGCCCCACTCATGCCAGGCGAGCGAGTTACCGCTTGAGCCACATCCCCAGCCCAGCATTACAATTCTTTTTTTTTTTTTATTGGTTGGTCAAAACCTTACAAAGCTCTTGACATATTTCATGCATTAGCTTCAAGTGAGTTATGAACTCCCATTTTTACCCCAAATACAGATTGCAGAATCACATCGGTTACACATCCACATTTTAACATTACAATTCTTAATACATCTTTATACCACAATTTATCATATCTGATTGAATATAAAGTGTGTTGACACCGAATTCACATCTTCATAGATGTGTTTTGTATAATGATGAGGGACTCCTTCCACCATCCATGCTATTCCCCTTCTCCCTCCCTTTCAAAGTGATATTTGATATCAGTGAGTGACCTCTTGGTTTTCTATAATGGCAGTGTTATAACATTTCAACTTGTGGATTGTCCTGAGTTTAATATATGACATTGGCCTTGATGTGTAAAATGTTAGGTGAAGAAAGAAAAAAAGGTGAAGAAATTTACTCATACCATATTTCTTTACTTCCTTGGCTAAGAGCTATAGTCTTCTGTGTTTTTTTTAATAGTACTCTAGTAAGCAGAAAATGGAGTTTTAATCAAGTAATCTATATTAGGTAAGTGTAAACATTTCTTTTTTTGTTGATACTGAGGATTGAACCTAGGGGTGCTTTGATACTGAGTTCCATTTCCAGTCCTTATCTTTTTTGATTCAGTGTCTTGCTAAGTTGCTAAGGCTGGCCTTGAACTTGTACTCCTCTTGCCTCAGTCTCCTGAGTTACATTTACCACCATGCCTTGTAAATGTAAAGATTTCTAAAATCTGCTTACCTGATCTATAAAAGTTGTATGTTGTCTTTAGCAATCTCCAAGTTTACCTGATGTAGATAATGATTTATACTTAACATTTGAAAATATTTTACTTATGTGGAACACAAGTATGCTTTCATGGCAGTATGTCCTAGCATCTCAACAAATGCACCAAAGTCAGTGATTACATGCTTTTATATTACTATTTTGCAGAACTGGGGATTGAATTTAGGGATACTCTACAACTGAGCTACATCCTCAGGCCTCCCCAACCTTTTAAAATATTTTTTAGTCGTCAATGGATATTTATTTATTTATATGCAGTTCTGAGGATGGAACCCAGGGCCTCACACATGCCAGGCCACTGCTCTACCACTGAACCACAACCCCAGCCCAATCCCCAGCCCTTTTTATATTTTTATTTTGAGACAAGGTCTTGCTAAATTCTTGAGGATGGCTTCAAACTTGAGATCCTCTTGCCTCAGCTTCCTGAGTAGCAGGTAGTAGCAGGCATTACTGTACGTGTGTGTGTGTGTATGTATGTGTATATACTTTTTGTGTTAGTGGAGATTGAACCTAGTGGTATACCACTGAGCTACATTCCCAGCCATTTTTAATTTTATTTTTGAAATGTTTTTGCTAAATTGCTGAGGCTGGCCTTGAGCTTGTGATCCTCCTGCCTCAGTCTTCTTGGTAACTGGGATTACAGATGTGCACCACTATACACAGAAGAAGGGGCCTGTTTGCCCTAAAACCATCCCATTTTAGGGGAAGGCAGGTAACAGGGATTGAATTTAGGGCTGTGCTTACATACCCAGCTTTTATTTTGAGACAGGGTCTTGCTAAGTTGCTGAGGGTGGCCTCAAACTTGCAATCCTGCCTCAAGTCACTAAGATCACAGACATGCACGCCACTGCCCCCCCCGCGTACTGTGCCCATTTTTATTGATAAAATTTGAACATGTTATGAAATCTCTGTAGAAATGTTCCATAATAGGACTGACACTTTCAAATGTGTACAAATCTGAGTTATGATTAAACAAAATGTCTTATGGAAGTCTAAACCTTCTATTAGCTTCTATGTCTTCTCATTTAAGAATTATCACTCATTTCTAATGACTGGAGGTAATTAATGATCAGTATGATTTGTATCACTTCTGTAAGGTAAGTAGTTGTCTCTGTGTCTCTGTTTGCTAGCAAAAGTATGTTTATTTGTGTGATGAGACCTGGTGGTGGTAGTCAGCATCTATGAACAAGCTGTGTGTGTGTGTGTGTGTGTGTGTGTGTGTGTGTTGCTGGGCAGGGCATTGAAACTCAGGACCTCACATTCCAGAAAGGCACTCTACACCCTTAGCTCTGAACAGGATTCTAAAACTATTTTTTTGGCTGGGATATAGTTCAGTGGTAGAGCACTTGCCTAGCATGTATGAGGCCCTGCATTTGATTCCTAGAACTGCAAAGCAAACTTGTAGTTAATCTTGTTCTAATGGGTAATTCTAAGACTAACTTGACCACTGCTAGTAAGGAAACATTAGAGTAAATAATTTTTTGTCCTATCATAATAGTCTGACCTCGCAGCTTTCTTAGTGCACTCAGCCAAAAAAAAAAGTTCTATCTTTTCATACAAATGCACTGTTTATCCCATAACATTACTTTCAGAGTTTTAATGCCTAAAGTTGAAAGGTTGTCAAATTAGTCTTCCTATCTTCAATTATTTAATATGCATAAAAATTTGGATAAAGGACTCACATTAAAAGCATTGCCAATTCATTAAACATTTTATTGGAAAGATAAGCATTTTAAAATTGAGGTGGGGCTGGGGTTGTGGCTCAAGTGGTAGCTTGCTCGCCTGGCATGCGTGCGGCCTGGGTTTGATCCTCAGCACCACATACAAAGATGTTGTGTCTGCCGAAAACTAAAAAAAAAACCTAAAATTAAAAAAAAAATAAATATTAAAAAAAATATTAAAACCCAATTGAGTCAAATGTATGAAAGATGATATATCATGAGCTCTGTAATGTTTTGAACAATCAAAAAAAAATTCTCTCAAAAAAATAATAAAATTGAGGTGAATGTTGTCAATCCAATTTCTTGGATTTGTTTTGTTTGTATTATTGGGGGTTGAATCCAGGGCTACTTTATCACTGAGAAACATCCCCAACCCTTTTTGAGACAGGATCTTGCTATATTGCTGAGCCTGGCCTGGAACTTGTAATCATCCTGCCTCCCCATCCTGGGATTATATGTTTGTGTCACTGCACCCAGCATAAATCTCATTCTTAATTTTTACTCCAATACAATTATTTTGCATGTATACTCTAGTACTTTTAATTTTGTTCAATTTATCTAGAATGAGAGATACTGTGGTAGTTGTAGAGGCCCAAATGTTTTTACCTTGGTGATTATTCACTTTATTGGAGATATTAATACTACCTTTTAAGCATTTTGGGGCACTTGCTATGTATTCAATTCCCAGCAAACCAGAAGACTTACTGAAAGGCATATTCCTCTATTTGAAAGCTCATTCAATATAGTAATTATGAATATGTTAGTATGTTTGTGCACTGATAAGAAGGATTAGGGACGACACATTTAAAGGTAGAAGGTATTTTAGAGTGAGGGAAAGGCTGAGTGAAGTGTGGTTGAGAGAGGATTTTTTTATGGTGCTGAGGATTGAACCCATGGCCTCAAGCATGCTAAGTAGGTTCTCTACCACTGAGCCACACCCCCAGCCCTCATCTAGGATCATGCAGCACAGAGTGATAAACTTCAATATTTATATAGATTAAAGAGTCATTGGATCTGATATTCTGCTTCTAATATAGCTATATTCCTGGCTTTTGCCTTTCAGTGAATTTCAGTGAATTTAATATCATAGCTAAAAATCAAGTTGTTAATATTTGGCAACCCACTTAAAAGGTATCTTAATTTTTGTGATTTTTTTTTATGTGATGCTGGGAGTGGAACCCAGGGCCTTGTACATGCTAGGCAAACAACCACTGAGCCACACTCCTAGCCTTCTCATATATTGTAATTTTTAAGATTTTAAATTATGTGCTGAATTTTTATCAATAAATCTGCACACATTTATTGACATATTTATTGACAACTATAACTTAATACCTGGGAAGATATGGAGTCCTGAGGCAAAGTTTTTATTTATGTGGATAGGTGTAGGGGGAAGAGAATAATTTTGAAATACTTAAATGTAGGCAAAAATTTAGATTTGTGGATAACTTTAAATAGTGCATATCAAGGGTTAACAGGAATTTGACAACTGGTAGTATGGAAATTATTTAACATTTAAATAATATTAACTAATATGCTTAGTTTGTGCCATACACTTTTCTTTTTACATATATTTACAAATATTATTTACTTGAATATTTTTACAAATATTTGCACTTTGTGTACTATTTTGAATTCTGCAGCATTATTAGACTTTTTAATTTTCTGTGGGAACTGTGTTTAAATAATTCCAATTGAATTACAAATAATCATGTGATTAGTTTCCCCTTAATCTTATGACAGCTATTTCATGAGAGGAATTAGGAAAAAGCCACATCTTGTTTGGAAATAAGTGAAATGGAGACTCTTTTACTGTCCATAATATTAAAAAAAAAATCTTAGAATTTTGGTGCTTTTTAAAATGTCAAATTGGAACCTAAGAACAATATATATTTTTCTCAGAAACTTTCTATACTGTTTATTTTGTTTTTAGATTTTATATAGCTCATTTCCATACAAACTTACAATGATAGATGCTCTAATATTTTTTTGCATCCCTGGAATCCTCCAAGACTTTAAAATGTTGGTTCAATGAACAAATACATGAGGAAATGGTTCAGAGCTTGGAATGGCCATATATAAGTTACTGTGACATCCTAACACAAAGATTATGAATGTATAAATGGGTTGAGGATAAGATTATGGTTCTGGTGTTAATGTCTGCAGTTAGGTTACACAGTAAGAGAAGTTGACAGATCAATGGTAATTTCATGCTGGGCATGAACTATGTAAAAGATGATTTACAAGCATTTCTTATGGTATATCTTGGCCTGAGGTTTGGAAACAACAAATGACCAAGATATTGTTTTGGTAGATGGTAGATTTCATATCTCTCTCTCTCTCTTTCTCTTTCTTTTTGGCTTAGTTTGATTTGGGGGTTCCGGCGCTGGGGGAAAGAGGACTCTGCAGCGCTGAAACCAAGCCTGGCTTGAGGCTGCGTGTCAGCCTGGGGGCAGCAGAGGGCGGGAGAAGCTTGACTCTAGGCCCTGCGCTCCCTTTCACGTGACGCGTCGCTTTCATTCCCTTGTGGGCCCTGCTTCCGGCCGGGGCATCACCCGGAAGTGGGGGTAATCGAGAGAGGGAGGGGTAAGGACTGCCGGCCGCGGCGGCTGGGGTGGAAAAAGAAGAAGCAGAGGGAGGAGTTGCTGCTTCCGCCACAGCCGCCGCGGCTACTGTGACTTCCCGGAGTGTGTGAGCGTGGAGGTTGCTTGCGTGGATTTATCGCTGCCTCGGTCCGAGTAGCTCTGGAGGTTTATCCACAGGACAGAAAAAAAAAAAAAAAACCCAAAACAGGTAAGTCCTACATCGGCTTCCCGTCATCCCCTTCTACTGGAGGGGGTGTTCTGTGCTGTCAGTCTGTACCACCCGGCGTGGTGAGAAGGTCATGTTAATCTGGGGCAATCTCGAAACTCTCTTACCTTCACAATTCAGATATTTACCACACTTACGTTTTACTTCCCCAAACGGGATAGAGGAGGGATTACATCCTCACCCGTGTCACTTTCTTATACCGTCCGGGGGAAGAGTCTCTTGATCATCCATGGCCTATGTTAATTAATTGAGTGCAGGAGAAGGTCTGTGTCCGGTGTTGGAAGTGACATCTCTGTATGCTTTGGAAACTAAGGTATTAAGATCACCATTAATGATGAAGTAATTTAAAAATAAATAAGTATTTGGATGCCTGACTTGCTCTGGAAGGGAGCATAGGCTGAATTAAGAGAGCCCTCTTGTTTCCTCTACATTTTCTTCATTGTGCCCCTTTTCTAGAAAAGTTACTCTGCATCCTTGCTGTGGCACCTCTATCTCTGTCTCTCTCTAATGTTAGGTATCGAATCCAGGGCTGTGCACAGCGTGTTATTTTTAACACTTTTAGTTTGTAGACGCTGAGGTTATCTTAAGCACTGACAACACTCCTAACGTTTTACAAGGCAATATTTTTCCATAATCTAAACTTTTAATCATAGCCTTTTCATCTCTAGCAATACTGCTTTGTTTTGAGACAATGTGTGTAGAACATTGAATTAAGTGATATTGAGGTGTGGGAGGTGGGGGGTTGCACAAGACTAAGACTTCTTGCCTTCAAAAGAGTCTGCAATCAAGTCAGTCGGCGTCAGCTATGAAGACATTGGGTTCTAGAAGTTCCACTAATTAAATTACTAGGTTTTAAAAATCTCATCCTTTTTTTCCCCTCAGTTCTTGTTTTTTTCAATGGATATTTATTTATTTATATGCAGTGCTGAGAATCGAACCTTGTGCTTCACACATGCTAGGCAAGAGCTCTACCACTGAGCTATGACACCAGTCCCAAATCTCATCCTTTTTAAAGGTTATTTTGAACTAAGATTTTAGTATTTTTTAAAATTTCAAACTTTTTTGTTTACAGTAATGACATGAAGGTTTTTTAAAAACAGTCTCACAACGTAGTAGGAAAGATAGATACGTGATCACTAAGCACAGTAACATTACATATTTGAAACAGGATGTGTTTATGAGAGAGCAGGGAATGGAACATTTGAACTTGGCATTGAATATTGGATAGGATTTAGCTTTGCAGGAATGGAAGGGGGCAGGACAGTCCAGGTAGAAGAAATTATGTGAGTAATGCTTCGGGGGCTGGAAAGATGAAGGACATTTTATCACTCACTGTCTGTCAGTGTCTCTATTTCTTTATCATGGTACTGGGGACTGATCTCCAGGGTCAGCCTATAACCCCAGCTGCTGGGGAGGCTGAAGCAGGAGGATCACTTGAGCCCAGCAGTTCAAGGAAAACCTGAACAACATAGAGATACTCTGTCTCAGGGAAGAGACTTGCTATCCTTTTATTCTTTGGGATGTGCTGAATCTCACACAACCCACAATTTTTTTAATTCTGATTGAGTTTTTGCCTTAAGTTTAACTTTATATCATTTTTAAAAATTGCTGGGAATGAATAATGTGTGTGTGTGTGTCTTGCTGGGGATCAAACCCAGGACACCTCACACATGGCCAGTGTGTGCATGTGTGTGTGTGTGTGTGTGTGTGTGTGTGTGTGTGTGTGTGTGTGTGTGGTGCTGGTGATCAAATCCAAGGCCTTACGCTTGCCAAGCAAGTGCTCTGTCACTGAGCTATATCCTCAACCAATGAATACAATGAATACCATTTTTAAAACCAAAAGATGTTCTGTTTTTTTCTTAAGGAAGTCTTTGCTTTTCCTTTTCTCCTTCAAGGTGACTTCTCTCTTAGTCTTCTTAACCTGATAGTAACTATACTTTTCCAATCACAGTTGAGATCTTGATTTGTGGCCTCTAAGTAGGGTTAAATATTAATCCTTCCAAGTGATAGGTTAATATCTCTATTCTTTAATATAGAGGGTTATTTTTCTTGAAACCAAGCATGCAGAAACAGTAAAATTTATTGAGAGAGAGAAATAGAGAGAGGAGGAGGAGGAGGAGGAGGAGGAGGAAGAAGAAAAAAAGAGGAGGCAGCAAAAATAACCCCTGCTGCTGGGAGTGCTGGTACACACCTGTAATCCTGGATACTCAATATTCTGAGGCAGGAGAGTGGCAAGTTCAAGACTAGCCTCAGCAACTTAGTGAGACCCCTCTCAAAAAAAAAATAGGTGAGGGGCTGGGGTTGTGGCTCAGCAATAGAGCACTTGCCTAGCACATGTGAGGCACTGGATTCAATCCTCAGCACCACATAAAAATAAATAAATAATATAGAGTTATCATGTCCATGTATAACTAAAAAAGATTTAAAAAAAACTAACTGCAGTTTTTTAATATTTATTTTTTAGGTGTAGTTAGATACAATGCCTTTATTTTATTTATTTTTATGTGGTGCTGACAATCGAACCCAGGGTCTCACATGTGCTAGGTGAGCATTCTACAGCTGAACCACAACCCCAGCCCACTAACTGCAGTTTTTTTTTTTAAAGAACAGGATATAGCTAAGTGGTAAAGAATCCTGGGTTTCCCCAGCTAACGTCCTGCAACCTTTACTTCTGTGAGAACTCTAAAGGCAATACCTTTCTTTCTTTTTTTTTGGTACAGGGGTTGAACCCAGGGCCACATTACCACTGAGCTATATCCCTAGCCCTTTTATTTATTTATTTTTATTTTGAATCAGGGTCTCACTAAGTTGCCCAGGATAGCCTCCAACTTGCATTCCTCCTGCCTTAGCATCCTGAGTTGCTGGGATTACAAACGTGTACCACTACACCTGGCTCAATACATCCCTTTTTTTCTATATTCCCTGTTAAAACTGCCTTATTCTATACACTGTATTTATTTATTCATTTATTGAGGTATCAGAGATTGAACTGAAGGGTGCTTAGCCACTGAGCCGTATCTCCAGCCTGTTTTTATATTGCATTTTGAGACAAGGTCTCACTGAGTTGCTTAGGGCCTCACTAAATTGCTGAGGCTGGTCTTAAACTTGTAATCCTTCTGCCTCAGCTTCCCAAGTTGTTGGGATTAGAGATGTGTGCCACTGCACTCAGCTTTATATACTGTATTTAAAAGTGCTTGTCAGACTTTATTAATTGAGACTTGACATTCCAATGAGTGAAAATAATCTTCATTTGCTAGTTTAGAAAGAAACTTGTGACGAAACATTTGAGTTTATAGTCACTGGCAAAGATGAGAATAACATATATGAGAGTAACTACTTGTTTTTATTAAAAGGCAGACCACATTTTACAACATCTATATTTAAACAGTAGTATTTTGTAGAACATACATCAGAATTGGTGGGGGTAGATAGTTGATCAGCAGTGGTCAGTCCAGATATTACCAATATCCCTGTGATTATATTTTTCACTTCTAAGTCTCAGTGTTCAGGTTAATTGAATGTTATATAACTTGCTTACTTAACTTGATGAGATAGTATGGCAGGAAAACTATCAACATTTCTTTATAACATGGTTCTTTAAAGTGAAAAGGCATCTGGGTGCTGCTAGTGTTGCCTGTAATCCCAGCAATTTGGGAGGCTGAGGCAGAAGGATTGCAAGTTCAAGGGCAGCCTCAGCAGTTTAGTGAGGCTCTAAGCAACTCAGTGAGATTCTGTCTCAAAATAAAACAAATAGAAAGGACTGGGGATGTGGCTTAGTGGTAAAGCATCTCTGGGTTCAATTCCCAGAACACAAAAAAAGTGAAAGGGCATGATATTCCTGGTTTCAAAATATATGTTCCTAGGTTGTCCAGCATAGTTAACAAATTAAAATTCTTTTCTAATTTTAGTGTGTGCTCAGGTTTATGGGATATAAATATAATATCAGCAGTCACAGCCCTTCTTTAATGGGAATGAGGAAAAAATCCTAATTTTGAGCAAGTTTATGTGCATTTTATACTATATTTTTTGTCTACATTTAGAATTGTATAGCTATGTTTTGAGGATTTTTATATTGGTGTTAGGGATTGAACCCAGCGATGCTTTACCACTGCGTCACATCTCCAGCCCTTTTTAATGTTTTAAAATATTTTTTAGTTGTAGTTGGACACAATACCTTTATTTTATTTATTTATTTTTATGTGGTGCTGAGGATCGAACCCAGGGCCTCACACATGCTAGCTGAGCACTCTACCACTGAGCCACAACTCCAGTCCCCTTTTAAATTTTTTATTTTGAGACAGAGTGTCACTATGTTGCTGAGATCCTCACTAAATTGCTGAGGCTGGCCTTAAACTTGCAATCCTCCTTCCTCAGCCTCCTGAGTCACTGGGATTACAGGCATCCATCTCTGTGGCTGGCTGCTCTTTTTTTTTTTTTAATTTAACATTTATTTATTTTTTCTTAGTTCTCGGCGGACACAACATCCTTGTTGGTATGTGGTGCTGCTGAGGATCGAACCCGGGCCACACGCATGCTAGGCGAGCGCGCTACCGCTTGAGCCACATCCCCAGCCCCAGCTGGCTGCTCTTGAGGATTTGAAAGAAAGTTGTTTTTGCTTATTTTTATCATAAGTCTCTAGAAGTTTGCTTTTTTCAGACCTATGATCAGGAGTGCATTTTAATGTTATGCTGATTGAAATAAATGTTTTTTTTTCACATGTAAGTTATGTTGTTTTTTTTAATATTTATTTTTTTAGGTATAGATGGACACAACACAATGCCTTTATTTTTATGTGGTGCTGAGGATCGAACCTGGGTCCCGCCCATGCTAGGCAAGCGCTCTACCACTGAGCCACAATCCCAGTGCCTAGTTATGTTGTTTTAACCTGGCCATTGACATTGTTTCATTTGTTCATTAAAAAGTAATGTATTTTTGTAGAGCATGGTGGCATATGCTTGTAAGCCCAGCTACTTGGTAGGCTG